TATGGATACGCCATATCTTATCAAATCCACACTTGGATTTGCTATATCTTAACAACCTACGGATATAGATATCTAATTAAAGAGATACGGATAAAGATATATAAGTACAGAGATATAGATAATCTAAATCTAATTGATAATATCATCAATTCGGTTGATGGGCGATCTCAGGACTTCTAGAATGTTCCAAAATATTCCAGAAGGTTCCAGAACATCTTGAAGGATCTCCGCTAGCCTCTCTGCGTTGGTGCGCCGCCGACTCGGCATCCGTCTGCATCTTCCTCGGCGTCGCTCGGCCACCCTTTCGGTCCATGACATCTTCTAAACTTTTTAAAATTTCTTCCATTAATTTCCAATTAAATTTCAACTTTTCTCTTGTTTTTCTTAGCTTTAATTTTGCCTTCTTTTCACGTTAATTTTTCGGTTATTGCGAGATAGCCCGGATCATTTCTTGAAGAGGTCGGGGAGCCCTACGATTAAATCAATTCCAACATACTTTTCCGATTAAGCCGTCGATGGCGATTTTTTTACGAAAACAACAATCTATCTATTTTTTCATTTTGATCCGTCCCATAACAAAGTATCCATTTTTCTTTTTAGTAATTGTATCATCTACCTAACATTACAAATACCCTTTCAATTTACAATATATTACACAAATGTCATTACTTTTATTATCATACAATATTTAGTATTTATACTTTTATTTCTACTACATTCCAATATAATACTAATATTTCTAAATTTTTTTTTAAAAAAATAAATAGATAAGAGACGGAAAACATATAAAAACACATCAAACTCAAGACAAAACAAACAAATTACATATGTACTGTCTTTTTTATTTAACTATTATATAAAAAATATCATATACTCCATCCGTCCCAGAACTATAGTCTTGGTTGTGTTGGACACGAGATTTGAGGAATATTGATATTATATTTATAGTGAGTAAAAAGCATGGGTAAAAGTTTTTTTGCCCTTGTGAGTGTATTAATGTAAAAAATAGTGGCAATTGTGTAATAATAATAAAAAAGTAAAGGTACTTTTATAGTGATATAGTTATTTATGAAAATAAGACTATTGTTTTGGGACGGATAAAAATAGTAAATATGACTATTGTATTGGGACGGATGGAGTATTATATATTCCCTCCGTCCCACATACCGTGTCTGTTACACTATAGACACGATATTTTAGGAGGGGTGTAATTAGTAGATAATTAAGAATGTATAAGTGAAAATAATTATCCTATAATATAAATAATTATAAATTAAGATTAATATAACTAATTAGTTTAATTAAAATTAAAAAACAATTAAAAAGTTTAAAATGAGATTAAAGTGTGTAATCATTTCCAAAAAAAGAAAGTGACATGGTATGTGAAACGGACAGAAACAGCAACGTGAACATGGTATGTGCGACGGAGAGAATAGTATTTATTCATATCATATGAAATTGTTAAGGATGTGTTTCTCTGGCCAAGTTTGGGCTGTACGGTTTGGGGACAGGAGCCGACATGCTCCTGTCATTTTTCTTTTTTTTTTTTGTTTTTTTTTCATTTTTAGGTTTTATAAAATTTAAATTATAAATATAAATTTATTTTTTTATAATATGTATAATTTAATAAAATATATACAATATATATGTCATTTTAGAGAATAATTTTTTTTTTATAATATAGATAAATAAAAATTTAAAAATATATATGTAGATATAATATAAATTTATAATTAAATCATATAAATTAATACATATTTATATTATTATATTTATTACTCATCAAATCAAAACTTTTCAAACCTCAACCAAACCTAAATATAAAAGAAATATCAAAATTCAAGCTCATTTTAAATTCAAATAAAAATCAAATTCAAACTCAAAATCTCCTAAATGCCCTAAAAAAACACACCCTAAGTTTTTTACTATTATAATTTCATAAGTCCAAAACTTTTACATATTATATATATATATATATTATTCCTAATTCTAAATAGAATTCTATAGCAAATATTTTGAATTGAAAATTTTGATAGTATAATATAAACAAATGTTTAAGATAGTAATTTGAATATTTTTTTAAAATAAAATAAATATAAATTATTATAAATGTTGTTGAGATATTTTAGATATTCAGATTTAGTAGATTTATGGTTACCCTCGTCGGTCCTCCATGATGTCAGTCCCTTCGAGCGTCTATTTGGTCAGTCTCCTGATTATAGTTTATTCCATCCATTTGGTTGTGTGTGCTTTGTCCTTCTCCCTCCCCAGGAGCGGACAAAGCTTCAACCTCGAGCTCGTTTATGTTTTTTTTTTGTTATGACGACGAACACAAGGGTTATAGATGTTGGGATCCTATTTCTAATCGGTTGCGCATATCTCGTCATGTCACCTTTTGGGACCGCACATATTTCTCCACCTTATCCAAGTTTAGCACATCGTTTCACTCATCTTCTCCCTTCTTTTCGTCTTCTCTCTCCGATCTCTTCCCAAATACCTCTCTCTCTTTTTCACCACAGCTCATTGATCAATCTGTCTTGTCACTGTCTCCTGGAGTTAATCCGTCTGCGCATCCTGAGCCGACGTCTACTCCTACACTTCTCCCTACTTGTCGTCGCTCCACTCGTGTAAGTAAACCTCCTTCACACCTTAATGATTACCATTGTTACTCTGTCATTTTATCTCAACATGAACCTAGGGCCTTTCGTGAGGCGAATGCTGATCCATTATGGCAGCAAGCTATGACTGAAGAATTGCAGGCTCTGGAAAAGACTCACACTTGGGATTTAGTGAATTTGCCCTCAGGAAAAACCCCTATTGGGTGCAAGTGGATTTTTAAAATTAAGACACACTCTGATGGTTCCATTGAGCGCTACAAGGCTCGTCTGGTGGCCAAAGGTTATTCCCAAGAGTATGGAATTGACTATGAGGAGACCTTTGCTCCTGTTGCTCGTCTCACTACTGTTCGTTGTCTTCTTGCCGTTGCGGTTGTTCGTCAATGGTCCCTTCTTCAGTTAGATGCCAATAATGCATTCCTCCATGGCACACTTTCTCAAGAAGTTTATATGACCTCTCATCCAGGTTACTTATCTTCTGGAAAAGTTTGTCGCTTGCGCCGTGCTTTATATGGGTTGAAGCAGGCCCCTCGGGCTTGGTATGCCACATTCAGCGCTGCACTATTGGAGTTTTGTTTTACCACATGTGCTTACGACTCTGGTTTATTTATTCGTTGTTCTTCATCAGGGATAGTTATACTCTTACTTTATGTAGACGATATGATCATCACCGGAGATGATGCATTTGGTATTTCTGATCTACAAGCATATCTTAGCCCGCAGTTTGAGATGAAGAGTTTGGGTCCCTTTCGTTACTTTTTGGGGCTTGAAATCTCTGATTCTCTCGATGGTTTATTTCTGTCCCAGGCTAAGTATGCCTCCGATCTTCTTGCTCGAGCTGGTCTCACAGACTGTCAGGTAGCATCTACACCACTTGCGTACGACGTTCGACTTACTCCTCATGATGGCTCTCTTCTTGATGATCCTACTCTTTATCGTCAACTTGTTGGGAGTTTGATCTATTTGACTGTCACTCGACCGGATATCGCTCATGCAGTCCATATTGTGAGTCAGTTCATGGCAGCTCCGAGGACCTCTCACCACTCTGCCGTCTTACATATTCTTCGTTATGTGAAAGGTACTCTTCTGCATGGCTTACAGTTCTCCTCTAACTCCTCTTTGACTCTCAGCGGTTATTCTGATGCTGATTGGGCTGATGATCCCACCGATCGACGCTCGACCACTGGTTTCTGCTTCTTCCTGGGTGATTCTCTTATTTCTTGGCGCAGCAAGAAGCAAACTTTAGTTTCTCGCTCAAGTGCCGAGTCAGAGTACCGTGCTCTTGCTGACTCTACTTTAGAACTTTTATGGCTTCGACGGCTACTCACTAACCTTGGTGCCCCTCAGCCATCATCTACGGCTTTTCACTGTGATAGTCAGAGTGCTATGAAGATGGCCCATAATGATACCTTCCACGAGCGCACCAAGCATATTGAGCTTGACTGTCACTTTATTCGACAACATGTTGTCAATGGAGTAGTTCATCTCATTCCAGTATCTTCTGAAGATCAGACAGCAGATATCTTTACCAAATCTCTTCTTCCAGGCCGTTTCCGATTACTCTTGGACAAACTCAAGTTGGTCTCTACTGCCCTATCTTGAGTTTGAGGGGGATGTTGAGATATTTTAGATATTCAGATTTAGTAGATTTATATCTAGATTTGATCTTATTCATAGATTAAATTACTTAGATTTGAGTGTATCGAGTCTATTTTGTATGGTCTATGTATGGACTTCTTATTTTGACGATAAAAAAACAATCTCATTATTTTCCCTCAAACTTTTTAACAGATGTAACAATGAAAAATATGTTTTTAGACTCCAATAAAGTGGTTAGGATACGGTAGTTTAAAAATATATGAGTAAAAATAATTATCAATTAAATTAAATAATTTAATTAAAATTATAAATTATTAAATTTAAAATGACAAATAATAAAGAACAAACTTAAATAAAAATATGAATATGTAAGTCAATGTGTTTTTGTTTTTTGAGATTGTTAGAAAGAATATTTTTTTTAGATGGAATATAGAGAATATGTATAATGTATTAATTATTTTGAAAAAAAGTATAAAAAAAACAAGAAAGAACAAAACAATTAATATTATTAAATTAAATAAATATATCAATTTATAGATAGTTTTTTTCAAAAATATTACATGTCTTTATTAATTTTATGTTTTTTAAACATTTTTTTAAAATTTTTTTTATGTATTTTACAAAACAAAAAATATTATAAAAATTCTCTATTTAAAATTCGAATCCACAAAAATCGAAACCCTAATTTCTTGAATGGACTAGCTGGCTAAAGAAATCGCTGGTGTTTTAGAAACGCGATTTAAAATCTCGCGTCTTGTCGTGTCGTCCAAGTTTTCCTCGTTTTAGTACTTAGTGTTTGTGTTTGTGTGTTCTTCACTTCCCGATCGACGACGCTCTGTTCTGCCGATTAATCATACCTTACCTTCTTCATTCCGCAGACCGATAAACGAAATCCGTCCCTGGTTAGAATCCAACATCAAAGATCGTTGAAATTTGTGAGAAATGGCGCGATATGATAGAGCAATTACTGTTTTCTCGCCCGACGGTCACCTTTTCCAGGTCGAGTACGCTCTCGAAGCTGTACGTAAAGGGAACGCAGCCGTTGGTGTCCGAGGCACCGACACCATCGTCTTAGCCGTCGAGAAGAAGTCCGCTCCAAAGCTGCAAGATTCAAGGTTTATTCCCCCTTCTCTCTCTCTCTCTTCACACGCACACACATGCGCGCGAATTCTTCCTTTTCATTTTCATTTTTGGGTGATGCGGGGATGGTATCGATATGTGGATTTTGTGCTGGGTTATGGCTTCGTGCTGTGATGTTTATTATTACGGCGGGATTTTGATTATCTAGTTGTAGTGCTGAGAACGGTTCACTGGATTTGTTGGCAGTAATTGTTTCTGGAGGGGTGGGTGTAGACTGAATTAGATACTCTGTACTCGTCTTCGATTTTATCCCAAACTATTTGGGGTAGTTCTATGTATGTTAAAACCTAAACCCTGGCTGGAGGTTCAAGTTCAATTGATATTCACTGATTAATGGGCTGTCTTTACTTGTGAATGGTAACAAATTCAGGATTGTTTTTCAACACAATTTTGGAAGTAAAAAACTGTGGGAAACAAAGTACACGCAATGCCTAATACCTGATGTATGTTTTAAGAAACATATATTGAAATCTATATTAGTGTGGTTGATTTACTTCTTAGTGTCATTTGATAGATTGACTTGAAGCCGTAGACCATGTATAGATTACTTGGAAGCCTTAGATATTATACCAGGAATTTTTTGTACAACAAAGAGAAAAAATGTAAATGAATACATTTTAGGATACAATGTTACGCCAAATGAATTGTATTTTGTTAATATGTACTCAACTTCCTGTAGATTTGTAATTGAGGCTGGAGATATCAGTATAGAGTAGATTTTCTTCTTTATTGAGCTCTATAGTTATATCGTGTAGCCTAGTTTTAGCATCCCTGATCATGGTTCTTTGCTCTCCTGCTGCGAATTCAATACATGGAAGCATTCGGTGTTAATACTTAATACCTAATCTTCTTGCGTCTTTCAGATCAGTGAGGAAGATTGTCAACTTAGATGATCACATTGCACTGGCCTGTGCTGGCCTGAAGGCAGATGCACGTGTTTTAATTAATAGGGCACGGATTGAATGCCAAAGTTATAAGCTTACAATTGAGGATCCTGTGACTGTTGAATACATAACTCGCTACATTGCCGGGCTTCAACAGAAGTATACACAAAGTGGTGGTGTCAGACCTTTTGGCCTTTCAACTTTGATAATTGGGTTTGATCCACACACAGGAACACCATCACTCTATCAGACAGATCCATCAGGGACATTTTCTGCATGGAAAGCCAATGCTACTGGTAGAAACTCAAACTCCATACGAGAGTTTCTGGAGAAGAATTATAAGGAAACCTCTGGCCAGGAAACTGTGAAGTTAGCTGTTCGGGCTCTGCTGGAGGTAAATGATTAAAGCTGCTACAACTTCATTTTTAATAAACTTCTCAGCATTTGGTGGTCTTAGCAATTTAAATTCACTATTGAGCTTCGTCATTATAATGACCATTCTTTCTCTGTATATATAAGCATGTAGTTAACTGATACTGTATTTCTGTTTTACTTTTAGTACTTGCCTTTTGACCCAAATGATCTGTAGATTTCAAACTTCAAATATTTGAAATCTATTATATATGTGGATTTGAAGTTGCGTTTGAAAGGTATTAATGTAGCAATCTACAGCCATTATAGAGTGTATATATATATATATATATATATATTGATCAGAAAGGTAAGGGTTTTTATAAATAAATAAATAAATAGGCCTATTTACATATACACTTGGCATACCCGGGAGATCAAAAGAGGATCAAAGGGTGACAGGCTACCGTATATCCTATACAGTAAATTGTGAGTAAAAAATGGGTAGCAAAACCCAACTCTAAGAGCGCTAAATGAAGTTTTAAAGCAAAAACAAAGATTCTCCAGATTATAGAGTTTATAATTGCTGGAATATTCTTTAGTTTATGTTGTTTTCTGTATAAGGTTTATTTTGGGGAGCTTATCATGAAAGTTAATGTTGCTAATTTTACTTGGCAAAAGTCTCGGTAACTAGATTTGAACTTTATCGTTTGCCCCAGTTTGATGACATCAATAATTGATTAGAACTTTAGGCACCTCCTCCTTTTGTCTTTAACTGATCAAGGATGGTTGCATAATCACTGTTCATATGACACTCCTCAGGTCGTGGAGAGTGGAGGAAAGAACATAGAAGTTGCTGTAATGACTAAAGAGGGTGGACTGCGACAGCTTGAAGAAGCTGAAATCGATGCCATTGCTGCTGAGATTGAAGCAGAGAAAGCTGCTGCAGAAGCTGCAAAGAAGGCGCCTTCGACAAAGGAAACTTAATCACATGTGATGGGCTTCTGTTATGATTTGGTGTTTTTATTTCAGATGGTTTCTGAACATTCATTCCCAACTTTCAAAAGGATTATCTCATGTTAGGGATTTCTTCTATGCTTTCACTTCTGTGTTCTTCTTTCTGGAGATTATTTGGAGCTGCCTGCCGCATCTGCGTTTTATATTAATAGGAGAGCATGCATCATTTTATCAAAGATTGATACAATATTTTATTAGCCCTTGTGGAATTTAACTAGAGCATCTCAACTTCTGAGACATATCATACTTTCATTAATAGGAGGATGCGGCATGAGACAAATGGCTTTGTAAGAAGCCTTGGTTTTTTCTCTTTTTTTATTTTGTGTTTGTTTTTTTTTTTATTTTTAAAATAAATTAATACTATTCAGTCTGGGTTTTTTTTCTTTTAGTTATTTTAATAAAATATTATATCCCGATAGGTTGCAAATTAAATTCGGCGAGACAAGTTACGCCGCCATGCCGTTTCTTACATAATTTTAATAAATATAGTATTTATTTGGAGAGAAATTAATTAATTTTTTTGTTTGAAAAAATATTTTTGGTGATTTTTTTTGAAAAAATTATATTTTCTTAAAGGACAGTAAAAATTAAATATTTTAACAAACAGAGAAATGATACAATTTTTATTTCTTTAGCCTTGTTCTTTGTACCAAACACAACCTTCGTCTTCCACCAGCTAAAAAGTCTACTATTACTTATCATATCTTAGTATAATTTACTCCTTGATTTGTACTATAATTAATATTTAAATATAAAAAAAATATATACTTTTTGACCGGACAAAAATAATAAAAATATAAATATTTTGTATTAAATTATTTAAATTTTATAAATAGATAAAATATATATTATGCTAATATGTATATATATATATATATTATATATTGTATAGTAGCCAAGAGTGGACGATAATAAGAATGAAATAGCAATTTAGTGATCTGGGATGGAGGTGCACTCCATCCATATCCATATATATGTTGTTTTCAAATGAAAGAAAACATGTACAAACATTGCCTGTTCTCTTCTCTTCTCTTCTGTTCCTACTAATAATACTATCATTGTTCTTGGCCGTTTTATTATTCTGTTTGTGCCCACACACTCCAAGTTTTACCTTTTGTCTCTTTAGCATACATGTTTGTACAACGAACAAGCAAGCCTACCTTAAGAGGTCTGCCACTGCAGCTCGATTTGGATCCGTCCATTCTTTGAGTCGATAAGATGAAACTTATCGTTTATCCTCCTATTGCTGATAACATCTGCTAAGTTGATGTCAACATACCCCAATATTTCCTGAATTTGATTGGCAACAGCAGAACATTAGATATGCTTCGACACGTTCACATGACAACATTCAGTATCCATCACCACAAAACTAATCAGATCAAATCGATGTTTAGGATATTAAGTGGGGCTCTACTCTAGATGTTGCAAGGCTAATGCTTTCTTCAGATACTTACCATAAATTTTATTCATTTTAAAATACAATTACGGCATATATTAAATACACCCTTGACCACTAGAGCCAAGATAGAAGAAGCATTGAGAAATAATGTCATTTAAACCTACTCGATAAGTGCCAACAGCATATATATATATATATATATATATCTTGCCTTCATTTTACACGCAACTTGGCTTATCTGTATTACCGTGCTTTGATTGAAGAAAGTGAGCAGGAATACCTTAGGATGCAGCAGGCCGATCCTGGTTGAGGTGCTTACTACCTCCACATGCATCCTCTCTTTTAAAGGAGGTTCTTCCAACATAAATGTAAACTCTTCTTCCCATCGGGGATCTCTATTCTTCTTTATTTGCTGTATCAATATATCAAAACTTTCAATAACTAGTTTCCGCATGTAGTGCTACAATGATTCTTACCTGGCTAACAATAGGATAGCACATTACTTGATTTTTTATTTCAAAAGACTCACGTATGAAGATGCTGCCATACAGAGTAAGCAAACAACCAATATAAATATAGAAACACGAGACTCCCTCTGTCCACCAAAACTATACTTATAGGAGCCGGGCATGAATTTTAATGAATATTGCATTATATTGGTTGAATGTAACATAAAATAGGGGTATTATGAGAAAGTACATGAAATGTGAGAAAATTTTGGTTAAATTCAGCGTGCAAATGGTGTAATTATAATCATGAAATATTTGTGAAATAAACGTACGATTGAAGTGTATAAATTAAGCACAATTCAAGAGTTTTTTGCTATAAATGAAAAATATAATTTTGGGGGGACATAAAACACAAACAAGCATAAATTTAGGCGACAGGAGGAAGTATAATTTAGCCATTGTCATTTGTAGGGTAGGACAGCATTTAACATGAGCAACATGAATGTGAGCAGATAATTCTTCAAGCATGCACACACAAACTCGCATATCTAATTCTTTGATTACCTTAGTTTTTCGTTCTTCTCCTTTGAAAATGATGCGCACATATGGATTAGTGTGATGCTTTCCCTCGACATCTTCAGCTTCATGCACAGTAACGACCAGTAGCCCTCCACCAGGCGGTGTGCCTTCAGGAGCTTTGTTTACTGCACCAGGGTTTTCAAGATCATTTGGCAGATCTTCCCCTTTGAAAGGTTTGTATGTCAATTCCACAACAATCTGTCCACGCATCTTATCATTTTGATCGTCATTCAAATCCATGTTCTTTAGTAGATCTAGTGTCATAACTTTTGGTTCATCAGCTTGAAGTTCCTTCAAAGGAACTACATTCATACCCATTTTTTCGTGCTTTCCAACCTTAATAAATACAAAAAAAAAATTGATGAGAGTTACATGGGGCAAGTATAACTAATAGTATCATAACTTTAATTAGGTACCTTCTCCCAATCATATACGGAAAGCTCTAATGCTTGTGTTTCTGGATCTTTGACGACTAAGCTGAAATCTTCATCCCACTCAGGATTCAAATTCTTATGCTTCACAGTAGTCTTTTTGGATGGAGCCTTCGATTCAGTGAGTTTCAGTTTCACATAAGGATCTGATGCACCTAGCAGATCTTTCTTCCTTAGCTTCATTGCCCTCACAACCTTTACATGGAGTATCCCGACAGGCTTCTTCATGGCACTGAAGGTTCAGCATGAGAATATTAGCAAACAGACGAGAGTGTATTCAGTATTCATTGCAGCACTATTTTAGTTTGTCTTTGGTTGGAGGATTTTTTAAGATTTCTACTATTAGCCAATTTCTTTCCAACTAGAAACATCCAATCAAACACCAATATTTCATTTTTATATTATACTAAAAATCAATTTTTCATTCAAAACATCATATAACAACTATTTATATCACATCATACAACTATTAGAATTTAAAGTTTTACTATTCAAAATCCAACCCCCAACCAAGATGAGATGCATACCTCTTTGGATCCAGAATTTGCACTTCAAGTGTTTTAGGCCACAGATACATATTTGCAACTTGATCTTTAATAGTCTCCTGCATTTATACCCAATTGTGTGGGGGGGGGGGGGGGGGGGGGGGGGAATTAGTTCTTGAATACATGTAATAGAGAATGTGCTAATATAACATGACAGATATTGAAGTTCACTTCCGACAGTAAATAAAATGATTGGCAACAGTTTGGCCTATGCTTCTAACTTTTTACCACTTATAATCTTTTATTTCTAGCTCTCAATAAATAAATGTATTTATATATTCAAACTTATTTTTTTTTATAAAATTAATTAGTGTTAATTGTGTCAAAATAAAAATATTTATTTGTATTATATATTTTATTAAAATATAACTTAAAAAAAAATTAAATACATATTTTAAATTTATTTTAATAATATATACATATATGGGTTAATGGGTCCGATCACTTTGTATTCTTTTTATACATATGTTTTTTTATGTTAAGTATGAAAAATCGTATCATTAATAATATTTTGTGTTGAATATTCACTTTTTTTTTTTGTAAATGAATAGAACATATATTGTATAAGTGTGTATATACTTGTTATAATATTTATCTTGAATTATACCACCCAAGAAAATGCTGGCGAACAAACCAATATATCATAAATAAATATCAATTAAATAAATCTCCTCCAACCACAAATCCAACCATTAACCAAACATATGTAATATAATGTACAATTAAATGGTGGGTGTAGAGAATTTTTACCTGCACAAACCTGTAAACGCCAGGAAGTGACATTAGATCAGCCCCACCAAGTTTCAGTCCAAAGTCAACATGTGGCTATAATTCAGGCAGCAGAACAGAGAAATAAACATATTAACCATGAAGCAACATACAAGCTCCTCAAAAAAAAAAAAAAAAATTAAATAAATAAATAAAATACAAGCTCCTCAACTTCTAATGAGTGAAATATAAGTTGTAACATAATTTTTTTAAAATTAGCAGACTTAGAACAATAAATCTACTGACACTTGACATTTCAAGGAGCACTAATATATATATATTCTATATTATATATATGCATGTATGTAAGCACATAAAGAACATCACAAACCTTCTCCATGAGAGACACAAGGATTTTGGCAAAACAAGGAAAGCTAGGAACCAGAGGCTTCAGAGTGATTCGAGGTTGAGCAAATACCTGCAAATCCACAACCTGCAGCATCCAAGCAACGGAAATAAATTTGAACAGGATGAATTACTGAATATTTGCATATGATAGTAATTGTGTGATACACTATCCTAAATTTACACTACATTATATAATTTAACAAGCAGGAAACCTGAACAGTTGCTTTCAGTCCATACGCTCTCACGGAAACTGCGACATTAGGATTCCCTGCCCATTTCATGGAAGGCTCCATAATCAACTCCTTCTCTTCAGTGAGATACACCTTCATACCTGTCATTAATAATTTTACAGTTCTTTTGAACTAAAGCGCATCGATTCACAAAGAAGCTTATCCAACATAAAGAACAATAATAAGGCAACACATGAGCCTGAAAATTTACAGGACTATTTACAGCTTATGTCGAAATCCAGGGATTGAATTTAAGTACTAATAACTCATGCAATGTGATGCTCGACTCCTCCAACTGATAAAACAAAAAGATTTTGACATGCTAGGATTGAAAGTACTGAAAGGAAATAGAAATAGAATTTCAACAAGTTATTTTATGTGCCTTTTTTCTAAAAATTGAACAACAATTTAGATCTCATAAGTGTGAAGAATGAAAAATTAATTGGGTGGCCGAAATCATCATTCATTACTAAACCACAATGTCACATTTGATACAAGTAATATAATTTGCAAAAGACCCCAAGAAGTTCCATAAAATGGCAAAAAAACATGGAAATTAACCAATAGCAGTTGCATTACTGACCTTGAAAAGTTGGTGGCAGCGATCCTAGAGTGAGAGATTCAAATTTAACCGATTCGAGTTTGTATTTTGGAATTTGCTCATTAATAATTGGAGTAGCAATATTTTCTGCCGTCTTGCAGATGGCCTATGGAAAATAAATAATAAAAGTAAGGCAGAGACCAGAAGCAAGACTTCCTGCAAACCACTCAAACTGTACAAGTTCAGAATTCAAACCTTGTCAAGGTAAGGCCACATAATTTCAAGGAACTTGTTGAGCCAGTCAATCTTGTTATCATCAAAGAAAGTAACAAGGAAACAAAAAATTAGATAATCAAGAGTTCATGAAATTTAATATTACATAAGTTGATGTAGACAAGGTGGTTAGTAATCAAAAGCTTACTCGGTCATAATCTGGATTTTTTACCCAAAGGGGTATTTCAGGAAGCAATTGCTGCAAACTTTGAGAGTCTTGCTCAACTAACGGGCGGATATCAGGATCCTGATCGAGTTAACAATCAAAAAGCTTTTAACAAGTTTTGCAGAAGATCTCAACTCATTTTTATTTCTCAAAATCTTCAATGAAGTGCCATATTCATAAGAACTTAGGAACAAAATTGCGATAGCAATGAATCCAAATCTATGGCACCCTATCATTAGAAAACTGACATCTATGTTCATAACTAGATGGAGGTATTTTCACTCCAAAAATACAGAGGAGCAATAATTTAACAGTAAAGGTAAAGAATATAAAGCAAATTCAAACCCTCCCTTTGCCAATATCAGGCACTCGTGAGTAAAAAACCATTTTACCTAGAAGCTTAGATCCTACAGCTAATACTAAAATAAATCAGATCATTATTCTTCACTTTGACTCATCTCAGAGCAATATGATACCATAAAACTAAAGAAAAACATATGCCTTCACACAGATTTTATGGTAAATCTAAAGGCTGCCAATCAACGATAAAGAACTAACTGCATCCACAAATTCGATTCCGTATCAAGCAAACCAACGCACGAAATCGAACTAATATTGACTAAATCTCATCTATTTCTCAAGCTTCTTATATCATCTAGAAAATCACAAGGAAAACAATAATAAAAATGTCGAAAATGATCGATTAACAATACACAATTTGAATGCATAAACACGAAAATTACAGAAATCTGAGTGTGTAAAAAGTAGTTATGACCTTGACATCGCTGGGCTGAAAGAAGATGAACAGATAGTAACCAACCACTATCCCAGATGTAAGCCCAACTCCAAAACCCCAAAACCCCAATATTGTGCTGATAAACCCCATCTCCACTGACTATAGCGAGTTCGAGCTTGTAATGCCTGTAAGTTAGAAATCAAATTGCAGATACAGGTTCCACAGATTATCAAAATCTTTCATCAGTTCTCAGCTGTTTGATCGAACGTCTCCTGGACTACCCTACCCATCGATGACTCCACCTCCCCTTAATCCAAAATTTTATTACAGATTAGAATAATACTAGTATTTGTTGGCGTGGAAAGAGATTGCGTTGGCGTTGTCGTTGTCCTTGGTATGCCGTGCAATGACAAAAGTCTCCTTAAGTCGGCACGAGTCCGATGTTTTTCGGCAAATTTTAACGGCCTTTAATGTAATTTCACGTTGGGGTAAACGGGGAATTATAAAATATCTTGATTTTAACCGAAGCAAAGATAGATTCGATCCTGTTGGGCTGGGCTGGGCTGGGCTGCCCTGCTTTCGGACGTAACATTTTTCATTTAAAAACTTTCTTACAAAAATATTTTATTTAATATATTACTCGAAAAAGAAGATTAAAGTTTGGTAATAAAAAACAATATTTAATTTATATATATTTTTAAAAAACATTAATATCAATAAATAGAAGACGGTTAGGGTGCTGATTAGAGCTAATAATCACGATTAGCAGTAATCCGTCCCATTAGGAATTTAATCTAACGGTGATGATTTTTGAAAGGGGTAAAATATTAATTTTTAATTCATACACAACAACACAATCTATTCATTCAATTAAAATGATTTCTTCCCTAATATTTCAAGTTCTTTTTCGATCAGATTGGACACTTTGATTCATGGAAGAGTAACCCATTAATCAAGAGCAACTACAAATTGAAGAAAGAGAAGCAAGTGTAATAAGACATTAACACAATCATATTATGGAAGAGCAAAGAGAAACGACTTCGTACTTGATCATGGAAGAAGAAATGACCGAAAGAAAAGAAACTGTTACCAGACAAGAAGTCAATTTTGTCATTGAAGAACAACATGATATTATTGAAGAGCAGCCATCAATATCCATCAACAATGATCATTGCTACAATACTGATCAAGAAAATCACGAATCAGGTACTAAAAATTCAACTATACAAATTAAATTCTTCTCAATGTGTTTCCAAAAAATCATATACTTTGGACAGATCATAATTACATATCAGGTACTATATTAATGAAAGTCACACAAAAAGAATCATTTAGCACATGAGATCTACTATATTTTATCAAAAATTAATTTTTACTGAATCTAATATAATATATGTAGAATACGTATCATACTGAAAATAATCACACTAACGTAAGATAAATAGCACACGAGTGAGCGTAACTTATCACCTATATACTCTCTTTCTTTCGAATTATTATCTAGAAAATTGATTTTCAAGATTAATTACGTGTAACAATACATACATATCACATAATATGTTATAAAAAATCACACTAAAAGTACTTATTACACACGGACAACTGCGAACCATAAGAAGATTTTTTTTTATTATATTTATCGTAACATATAAATACAACATATACTACATCCTATAAGATCACATTACTTACACTAAAATAGCACACAACTCAATCAAAGTGTACTTAGCAGACTAAGGAAACATATTTATCATATAGACAACTGTAAATTCTCTTAAAACACTGGTGTAAGTTTAATTACATGTAACAAAACATAGATAGCACATAATATTATTAGGAAAAATCACACTAAAAGAACATATTTAGCACATAGACACTTGTCAATTGTAAGACCATGTACAACATGCTAAAAAAATCACATTAATTACAATAAATTAGGATACAACACAATATTAAAACATTACAAAAGAGACATTTTTTCAAAAGAAAGATTAACTTCTATTGAATATGAATAGCATGGGAACGGTTAGATTATTGAATTGAAAAAATCAGCACATGTTGTGTATAATATATACAAACAACACCCGCACTTGCAATATATACGGACATCACACAGTCTTATATATGCACAACACATGTTGTGTATAGTAAAAACAAAGTATTGTTGATTCATAATTATAAATATATATGTAGTAATACCGTGGCTGTTTGACATCATACTGTGTGCTAAATTTTAAAATGTACTTAGCATACTAAGATGATGTATTTGCCACGTGAATAAGTGTAAATTATAAAAGGAAAATTTCATATAGAACAACACTTTGAAATTTTGTGTTTTCTCTCTAAAAATTTATAGGTACAAGAAACATAACAAATGAAATTCAATACACCTGCTGATGCTTATCAATTTTATTTTGATTATGCACACAACAAAGGCTTCGGTGTGAGAAGTAAGATGCAGAAAAAAATGAAGAAGAAACTTGAAAAACTCCAATACTTGGAGTACTGTTGCAATAAAGAAGGGCACCGTTTGGGAAGTAAGATGGCTGCAGATAAAAATAAAAAATCAACTAAAGATTTAAATATTTCTCAAAAGAAGATCACAAGCAGGACAAAACATGAAACAAGAGGACTGGGTGTACTGCGAGATAACTGCAATTAAATATAATGTCTGAAATATACAATGTTACCTTCTTTGATGACAACCATAATCATGAGTTACAAAAACCAGAGCACAAGCATATGATTAGCTCAAATAGAAGAATGAATGAATCTGATATCATTATAGCAAAGATGAATCATGAAGCAGGGATCCCATTGAGAAACAATTTTGATCTCATGAAAATAGTTGCAGGAGGCAGGCAAAATGTAGGTTTCCTTAAGACAGATCTAAAAAATCAAATGAAGAAGCAAAGAGATGCTGCATTAAAGGAAGGAGAAGCAAATGCACTACTGAAATACTTTAGTAAAAAATCAATAGACAATCCATATTTCTTCTATGAAATTGAAGTTGATGCAGATTAGAGAATAACAAATATCTTTTGGTTTGATGCTCAGATGAGAATAGACTACTCATTTTTTGGTGATGCTATAAAATTTGATACAACATACCAAACAAATAAGTATTGCCGACCGTTTGGTAGGAAACAACACTTCATACTTCTTTACAAACAATATATATCTAATTAATTTTCTAATGATTTCTAGGTGTATTTGTGGGATTCAACCACCATAGACAAACATGTGTGTTTGGAGCAGCACTATTATATGAAGAAACAAATGAATCTTTCCATTGGTTGTTTGCAACATTTTTAAAGTGTATGAATGGACGGGAACCAAGGACTATATTCACAGATCAAGACTTGGCAATGGCACCAACAATAAAAAGTGCAATGCCAAACACACATCATGCTCTGTGTACATGTAGAGCTGTTAACGAGCCGAGTCGAGTCGAATTTTCAGTGTTTGTGTTTGTTCGTTAAGCTTAACGAATAAGGCTCGTGTTCGTTTGTTAAGCTTTCGAGCTCATTCGTAGTGTTCGAGCTTGGCTAGTTAAAAAATTTTAATGTTTGAGCTCGTGTTCGTGTTCGGCTCGATAGGGCTCGATTAAGCTCGTTCGGGCTCAATTGAGCTCGATTAAGCTCGTTCGAGCTCGTTTGTCTCACTTGTTTTTTTTTAAAAAAAATTAATAATAAAACATGCAAAAATCGTAATTCAAGAATAAAAGCACAATAAATAAAAATCCACTACAAATTTAACAACACGCACTTAATTCAACAAAATCCAACACAATTTAACTCAAACTTAATCCAATATAATACAACACAATCCAACACAAACTTAATCCAACATAAACTTAATCCAACACAAACTTAATCCAACACAATCCAACATAAACTTAACCCAACACAATCCAAAACAAACTTAAATGGAAATACAATCTTTCCAAACATAACATCATGATACGCTATCAAACCATGGATGCATCAAATGATCGTATATTTTCACGCTGAAAATCTGCAAATATTTGTATAGATATATATGTTAGTATATCTAAATATACATTAAGTACAATAATCGAAGAAAATAAGTACCCGAACATGAAATTAAGATACGCCATCAAACCATAGGTAGAAAATATGTACCAAGAATAAGCTACCAAACCGCCAATTCATCAAGAAATTACGCCTTTAGCTTTGATAATCTGCAAAAAAAAAAAAAAAAAAAAAAAAATTAAAAATGATATATTGAATTACAATAAATTATTTATTTCAATGATTCAACCTGGAAGATCAATTTCTTTGTAGTTAGAAAACTCTTTAGCATCCAACTCTTCATGTAATAGAATTCAAAATTATATCAATTTAATTTGACATAGAAAAATTAGAAAATAAAGAAAATAAGAAAAGTATTACCTTTTTTAAGGAGTATTTCTTAAGACCATGCAAATTTCTAATCAATCATTGCCACAAAGTAACATTTGCACCGTATCAACTGACATAGAAACCCGACGATCATCAATAACTCTACCACCGGCGCTAAACGTAGACTCAGAGACCACTGTGGTTAGAAGAATATATAATATATCACTTGCCATCCTTGCCAATACTTGAAACCTCAATCTTTCTCTTTTCCACCAACCTAAAACATCCAGGTTTGCATTGGCATCACAATCATATATACTTTCACTCAAATAAACATCCAAATCAGATTTTTGTGGCGGGGCTTTATTAGACTTACTCACGTGCATATGAAACTTTGCTTTTCCGATTAAAACTTCACTTCCAACCCCACTAGATCCCAAGTTAGAAGTTGAAGACCCTCCAATTTCAGAATGTTTACGTTTCGATACAATCGGAGGCCTCTCTTCAGAGTGTAACTCGTGACATACTCATCATAAAGATCATACAAAATCTTCTTGATCTCACCCACGTAAATTGAAGTTTCATCCTCACCATAAATTGTTGGAAAAGCAAAATCAATAAGCTCCATTTTCTATCTTGGATCTAAAATAGCACACAAAGATATCAACACATTTATTTCTCCCCAATACTTGTCAAATTTCTCTTCCATTCTTAATCCATAGACCTCATATGAGAAGAATGATGCGTGCATTTCTCATTAAGAAGCTCTTTAATCCGATACAATTTAGGGAGGAAAATATTAGCCGTTGGATATTCAGATCCATAAATCATATTTGTAATCTCATGAAAAACTCCTAAAAACTGGCAAACATCTTCCACTTGACTCCACTCAAATTCAGTCGGCACATAATGAAATCCAACATCAATATCAGCATATCTAGAAAACACATCTTTAAACTGTAAAGTTGAAGCTAACATCATATAAGTGCCATTCCATCGTGTTGGACAATCAAGAAATAACTTCTTCGGAGACAAAGAGAGTTGTTTTTTTTTTTTTATCTTGCTAAATTCAATGAGACGCGCTTCAAAATTACACAAATACTTTATTCCATCCCGAACACAATCAGCCATAGACCCAATCTCATTAAGACCATCTTGCACCAACAAATTCAGGATGTGTGCACAACAACGAATATGAAATATCTTTCCCCCAATACTTAATTGTTTTCTCAACAACAAATCATCTTTCAATCTCTTTACACATACATAATTGTAAGAAGCATTATCAACTGTAATACTAGACACTTGATTTTCAATTTCCTAATCGGTGAAACATCTACTAAGTGCATCAACAATAATAATAGTATGCGGAGGTGGAACATTACAAAAATTCAACAATCTCTTTTGTAATACCCAATTGTCATCTACAAAGTGTCCAATCACCACCATATATTGAACCTTTTGGTTCGACTTCCACAAGTCAGTTGTAAGACTAATTCTTGTAACACCCTTTAACATTGATTTCAACTTCTTTTTTTCAGATTCAAAAGTAAGCATGCAATCCTTCTTCACAGTATGTCTACTAATCTTTTGATAAAATAGAGAAATAGCTTTCAAAAACTTGTTGAAAATAGCATGCTCCATAATCAGAAAAGGATATTCATGAGCTAAAATCATAGGGGATGCAAGTACCCGTACCTTAGCATGATCGTACCGATAATTCGCAATCGAATTTATCCCTTCCGAATGAGATTCGGTAGTGAAAGAAAAAACCTGCTGTTCCGAAGGCAATGATGTCTTAATGCAACTATCCAGATGACGCTTGTAAGTAGTTGTCGTTCGTTCCGAATTTCTTGAGAAAATCCCTTTACAATGACTGCATTGCACTTTTACTGACCACCAGGTTGAGATATTTCTTTCATATATTGCCACACAAACGATTTCTTAGCGTGACTTTTTTTTTTATTTTTATAATCCTCCTTATTTTCTTCCATGTTTTTTTCTTTTTCTTTATCCTTTTGATGGCTATCAACAATAATCTCCAAGTCCACGTCCTCGTGCATTTCATCATCTTCACCTTCATCAATGGAAACTTGTTCAACAAGATGATCAACATAATCCAGGCCAGGAGCAGTAGATGAACCTTGTTGGGATTGACTTTGAGACATAGCTACAATTACAAATATGAAAAGTATTAGAAACTCTTATCGAAAATTAAAATTATGATGACCAAATTGAATATTATTGAAATAGATATAGTAATTTGCATATATAGTCATGATAATCAAATTGAATATTTATTTAAATATTTATATATGGATTTGTGAACTGTAAATCTGTAATATATATTTATAAAGAAAGAAAAAGTCAGAACAGAGATCCGACGGGATCCGACAGTTGAGGTGAAATTCAATATATATATATATGTTCATATGTATTCAGAATTTCAAAGAAAGCGGTAAAACTCCTAAATCGATAAATAAATGTATGTGAAAATAAATATAAATTTACCTGTTGGAGCTCAGATTGGGAGGAGGCAGGAAGGTGGGCTGCGGACGGCGGGCTGTGGATGGTGGAAAGGTGGAAGAAAAGGCAGGCGAAGACGGCGTTACTGTCGCGTAGACTGTAGTATTGGTGGGAGCTGGCGGGAGGACTGTGGGCTCGCAAAGGCGGTGACTGTTGACGGCGGCGAACGGTGGAGAAAGACAGTGGTTGCGTGCTTTGGAGGAAGACAGCTGTGAGAGGAAGAAGACGGTGGCAACAATATGATAAGTGAGCAATGGAGCGACTACTACTAGCGAGTGAGAGTGAGAAAGAAAGTAAAGAACAGAGAGGAGCCGCGGAAGAAGTGAGGGTGAGAAAGAAAGTAAAGAACAGAGAGGAGCGGCGGAAGAAATTATTGGGGGAAGTGGAAATTAGGGTTTTGAGAAATGACAAGTATATTATTTTATTTTTAATCTTTTTATATATATATATGTGATATTTTATGTATTAATCTAAAGAAAGAAAGTAAAGAACAGAGATGAGGGCGGACGAAGTTGTTGGGAGGGGGGAAAGTGGAGAGAGGACTCACAAGAGGGCGTTTATTTGCTATTATTTTTTAATTGAAATTAGAATTTAAAATTACTTTTAATTTAAAATTATTTTTTTAATTTTTATATATATTTAATTTATGTATAAATTAAAATTAAAATTTAGAATTATTTTTATTTATTTATTTTAAATCAATACTTTATTTATTTATTTATATATAGATTATAATTTTTATATAAAATAATATATTATTTAACGAACGTTCGCGAACAGGGCTCGGGCTCGTTCGTTAACCAAACGAGCCTGTTTATGTTGTTCAGCTCAGCTCGTTAACGTTCGCGAATGAGCTTTAATCGAGCCAAATCGAGCCGAGTTCACGAACGGCTCGGTTCATTTAACAGCTCTATGTACATGGCATATCATGCAAAATGCAAAGAAAAATTTAAGTTCACTCTATGATGCAAGGTTTGTGATCATGATTTGGTCTAGTTACTTAGCATTCGCTATTTACATATTTTATGTAACTAAATAACTATGTAATTGCTTTTTATAATTGTAACAGGTTTTTTTGAATATTTTCAAAAATTAATGTATGTTGTTCGAGATGAAAATGAATTTGATTTAGTATGGAGAAATATGTCAGAGACTTGCTTCCCTAATGGTATTCATAGATGGCTTCTAAATATCTATGATCTAAAGCAGCATTGGTCTTCAGCATGGACAAAATCAATTTTCACTGCTGGAATGAGAAGTACACAACTTAGTGAATCTCAAAACAGCTCTTTAAAAAGGTTTTTTTTTTTATGCTCCGATCTACTTTATTTTTTTTGTTTTATATATATTGAAATTCATATTATACATGCTATTACTCTTCTAATGCCCACTTACTTATACAATAATATATGCTTTCTGTAGATTCTTACAATCATACAACAAGAACATTATTGATTTTTCCCAACAGTTTGAAAGGGTTCTAGACAGTATTAGGGAAATAGAACTTCAACAAGATTTTTATGCAAGGGATAAGAAATTTGGGGCAAACCACATGTTGAATCCATTGCTGAAACATGCAGCGCAAGTATATACACCAAATGTCTTTAAGATATTCATAGTAGAACATGAAAAGTCATATCAGTACATAGTAAGTTGTGTTGAAGAGAAAATGATCTATCTAATATACCATTTTCAGAGAAAAACAGAGCAGAACATAATACAACTTCAAATTGAAGAATCAACCCTGGAATGCAATTGCAAATTGTGGACATAAACAGAGATTCCTTGTTGTCATTCTATTCGTTTAATGGACATATTAGGAGGTACAAGACATGCACAGTTCCAGTATCTACCTAATAAGTATTTATTGAAAAGATGGACAAAGGATGCAAAAACATAATGTAGGGATGCAATGGAAAGTTTTGATTTACATCATAAAAATATGACTTTTGAGGAAAGATACAAACCATTGTGTCATTTATTCCTAACTTCAGCATGACTGCTTGCTTCAAATCAAACAACATATGACTTATGTTTGGAGGAATTCAATAAGATTTTAAAGACAACACTGAGTGCTACAAATACAAGTTCAACACCGGGTAGGATGAATGTACGCATATATATATATATTTATTCTTGAAGAAATTAATTTTATATTTACTTAATAAAATCTACTAAATGCAAGTCCAAGAACATGTTTAAGCATAAAGAAAAAAGACAATCAAAGAGGGAGGGTTAGAAGAACAGTTTCTATCAGGAACTATGAAAGAGAAAAAAGAAAAGAAAAAAGTAACAAAGAAACAAAAAACATTGCAGTCCTTTGAAAAACATACGGTAGTTTCTTCTTCTGTTACTGATAATTCAAATATAGAATCCAACAACTAAAACTTCTTTGATATAGAAATTTGAATACACAAAATATTCTTAGCAAAAAGTTCTACTACAAAATAGTAATAGACAAAAAAGCAGTGCACAAAATATATTTAAATGAAAATCTGCAGTATATAAAATAGCACAAAAAGTAAAAAAAAAAATAAAAAAATACCGAATTTCTTAATATCAATAGACTATAGCTTCTTTCCCATGCCTGACTGAGCCTACAATCAGTAAAATATCATTAAAAGAGATGTCCAATAGCTGATAAATTAAAATAAAAGTATACAAAATAGCACGTAAAAGACTTGAAAAAATCACACTATAGAAACTAAACCAACACACCATAAATATATATTACGAGTCCTGATTTTATATACAAACAACACACAATCTTATTATACACAACACATACTGTGTATAATTAAGAAATGTGGTGTTGGTTAATAATTATACAATTATAGGTGTGCTGTATAACAATATGTGGTGTGCTGAAATCAACTATCATTTATGCTGTATAACAATATGTGGTGTGCTGAAATCAACTATCATTTATGCTGTATAAGAGTATATCATGTGATGTTAGTTCATACTATGTTATAATGAAATCACATGAACATCATTAATAGCAGTATATAAAATAGCACATTAAGTACATAAAAAAATCACACTATATAGACTGTGCAGATACATTATTTTAATAAAATCACATGATCATGACCAAAATATAAAATAACAACCAATAAAAACTTTTAATCAACACATATTAAACAACATACCGAAATAGATTAATATCAATCAGACAAAACTTCTTTCCATAGTTGACGAGCCTGAGATCATTAAAATCATCACAATATTTAATAAAATAAAAGTCCAATAACTGACTAAAATAACAATACTCAATATAGCACATAAAACACTTCAAGAAATCACAATATAGAAACAAAATCAGCACATAAAATACTGAAAGAAATCACAGTACAAAAACTATATTAACGCATAATATATCTTCACAAAATCACATAAACTATATCATGCACC